TGATGGCAGGTTCGGTCAGGGTCCATTGTCCTTGATGGGCAGTCCCCCCCCGGCTTGGGTTGGTCCCTCCCCGTTACGTGCAAGCCCGAGGGTTCTGTGCTGCGCGGCGATCTTGTTTCGCTGCCTGCGGCCCCGTTCATTGTTGGCTTGCGCCGTTATCAGTTTATAGTTAAAGCTTCCGCTGCGGTTTTCCTGTTTGGCTGGGCGCAGGTGGCCCGTTAATTAGCGGCGCTTTCAGTTCCTCTTTTCCTCGCTAGCTGCCGCCGGTGGATTCCGCGTGGTCTGGCTGCGAGCTTCCCTGAAGCCCCGTGCTGGCCGAACCTGACAGTATTGGCTTCTGGTAAAGCCAGCCTCAGCTCCATAAGTTGGCTGTTAGAGCTGGATTGCTTCGGGACTGGGGGTGGCAGGTCTTGATTTAAGACACTTGTTTATTCCAAAACAGTGTTTCTCAACCTTGGTAACTTCAACTTCCAGAATTCATGCTGGATGGGAATTCTGGGAGTTGAAGTCCATGGTCCACACAGCTTAAAGTTACCAAGGTTGAGAAATGCTGCTTTAAAGTATGAGCGATGCATGGTGTGCACTGATGAAAGTCCACAGATCTCTACAACCAGAATGGCTGTGTTCACCTGTCACACCAAGCCATCGTTCGCCTTGGCTGTGGTTAGTTGAGCAAACCATAATTGGCTGACCCTACATGAGATTCTAAACCCAAACTAAGCAAGCCACATACTGCAATGTGTGAATCAGATTCTCTTAGCTGTCCAAGCAAGTATGGACCTGAGGTTCTGTGATCAAGGTTAACTTCTGGAAACTGGCTTAATGCACTTCGTGGTTTTCCTAACAATTATTCCTGGCCTTGCAGAGTGGGAGAAGGAAGAGCATGCTGGAGTTTGGAGAATGCTTATATTTCCCTTGGGAAGCATGAACAAGCCTTACACTTCGCAGAAAAACATCTGGAAATCTCCCAAGAGGTATGTGTTTGTGTCTGTGTGTGAATGCTATAAATCTGCCTGTGCTATTGGAATATTTTTGTTGCGTGTCAAAAATACATTTTTGCAGATTCAGAGAAAATAAAATCAGGTTACCCTGCTTTGCACAGTGTTGCTCGGGGACAGAAACAGGAAGCTGGTTTCTAGACAGGACTTGAATTGACAAGAGCTCTGGATAGTAGAAGAAAGTCCGATGCGGCCACAGACCGTCGTAACTAGGGAAGGTGACCTGATGCAAAGCGATTGGGGGGGCACTGGGAGGTGCAGAAATGGGGCTGGGGACTGCTGCTTCTCAAGCTGGGAAGAATGTTGAATGTGCAGAGATCCAAGCCGGTCTAATGAAGGTTTTCAACCAGGAAGGGTACAGTGGTCTCCTGGGCTGCGTTGAACGGGGGTTAGACTATATGACCTCAAAGATCCCGTTCAGTTTAGGCATTCTACGATGCTCTCAGATCTCAAGGGAGTGGTAGACACGGAGATCTCCCGTCATTATACTCCCAAAACAGAATGATAGATTCGTCTGAGAGAGCATGACCAGTCCAAAATCACGCAGCGAGCTATGTGGACGATCTGTGGGGATCTAAGCTTGGATTTGTTCTTTGACTGCAAAGCAATTAAGTAAATTAAAGTACTCCGATTTCTCCAGGCCACGCCCACTTTAATCTTACACCCCACTGCCTCTGCTCTCGGTCGCCTGTGTTATTGGATTTCATCGTTTTAAAAGTTGCAGATATCTTTAGAGTGGCCTTATTTGTGAAACGGCTTTGGTTGGAAACGGGTTCAAGGTCTGGTCCCAAGTTTTAGTTTCTTGATGCGGCCGGTTTATCAACGAGAAGCAAGTCAGAAATGTTATAAGTAAATCCGAAAAGAAAACTACATCAGTCTAGCAGAGGGCAGAGGAGTCAGCCGCACCCCCCAGCCTTGAAGTTTGAGGACCAGAATCTTAGTTAACGCATGACGCCTCTTCTCCTGCCCTAGTATTAACCTGTCAGCTGCTCCGGATAAATATTATTTGCTAGGTGCAATTTGGGGTTTGCAGCATTTTGCGGAGCGCTGATTACTCAACTCCAGATGGGAAGGGAACAATGGGATGTTTCTGGGCAGGGGGCGGCTGGCATTGTGGGAACAGGGTCCCCCTAATTATGGACTCAGAAGGGATGGGGCCGACAGATTGTCTCCCATTCGGGGGAAAGCTCGGAGGCGGAAGACGCTCCTTCTGCGCCGAGAGTCTCTGCTGCGCGCAGGATTGTACAGACGGCGAAGTGAGACGGATCCAGTCCACCGAACCCGCATGAGTGATCCTAAACAGGAGACAAATCAGCTTGCAAGATTTTATCCCCACTTCAGATGGGGGCGGTTGACCTATGGCTGATTCAACCACGCCACGCTTACGTCTCTAACCAGATCTGGTTGTTCCCGGAGATGCCTTTCCGCGTTCCGTGTTGCCTCGTGCGCTGTCAGGCCCAATTCTGTGGCTCATTTCCCCCCGAAATTGGAAGGAATCTGGTAGCACCTTTTCCGAGTAACAAATTTTATGGAAAGCCCTGAGCTTTAAATGAAATCTGTTAGTTGGAAGCTTAGGGCAATAATAAAATAAAATAAAATATCAGAAAAGGTGCTACCAGACTCCTCTTGATTTTGGGCTGCCGTAAATTGACACGGCTCTCCTCAGTGTTTCTCAAACTTGGCCACTTTAAAATATGTGGACTTCAGCTCCCAGAATTCCCCAGCCAGCAATTTATGACCATTCGTTTAGCAACCGTCGGAAGTTACAGTGGTGCTGAAAAAAGTGACTTAATGACCAGTCCTCGCATTTACAACCATTGCAGTGTCCCCGCAGTCACGGGATCAAAATTAGGGCGCTTGGCAACCGGCATGTATTTACAACGGTTGCAGCGTCCCAGGGTCATGTGATCAGCATTGGTGACCTTCCTGGGGGGCTTCCAACAAGCAAAGTCAACAAGCGACTCAACAGATTCGCTTAACGACCACAGCAAAAAAGTCATAAAATTGAGCATGACTCACTCAACAGCCTCATCGCTTAGCAACGGACATTCCAGTCCCAATTGTGGTCATATGTCGAGGACTGTATGGAGCATGTGGGAGAACAAGGGGGATTGGGCCTTTTTGGGGATTCTGACTTTGGAAATCCTCCTTGGCAAGATGCTCTAAAAGGCGGCATCCATTTTTATCACATAATCACAGTAGGTGTCCCTTTGCAGATTGGGGACCACCCTGGGGAGACGACGGCGTGCACAAACATTGCACAGCTGCAGTTGGCGTTGGGCCTGGAGCAGAGCGGTGATGGGGCCGATGCCTCGGCTGGTTGTGCGGGATATGAAGTCCAGGGTGAGTGTCGTCTTCCTCCAGTATCTTCTCTTCTCGTCCTTCCGGTCTGTTCTCTGCCTTCTCTCCCTCCAGTGAAGGGCAAACCCGGCCCGGGAAAGCTGTCGGTGGCCTGGCTGAGAGGTTCAGAGCCTTTTCGAAAGCGGTTTATCCTGCCCCACCGTAGATGGGGGGCTCTTGCTCCGGCACAAAGCAGGTTTTTAAAAATGCAAAGAGCGTTTGGTGGAGGAGGGAGGCAGCGAAGAGAAGCCCCCCCAGAGGTGGGGCACCATTTTCTGCATGCCTCCATGCGAGAAATCCTGGGAAACCGGTCGGGGGGTTTTCCCATGTTGATGCCAGAGATGATGCGAAGCAAGTATATCTACAGTATATATTTATTCCAGTACACCCGTTGTGAGCCTATTCATTACATTCACTGCAGGTATATTTGTTCAGTACATTCAGCGCAAGTGTATTTGTTACATTAAACACAAACATATTTGGGTATTACACCCAGTGCAAGTTTTCTTTTTCTTTTTGTGGTAACTTTATTAGTTTTTCAAACAAGATAGAAACTATCAGAAACAATATTTAAGATAAAGAAAAGAAAAAAAGTGAAAGAAAGGGGAGGGGAGGGAAGGAGGGAGGGAAGGAGGAAGGGAGGAAGCCAAAAGTGCATGAAAAAAAGAAAGAAGAAAGAAATATAAAGAAATGACTTCCGATTTTCTTTTACAACAGTTATAGGTATAAATTTAAATTAAACTCTTACTCTACGATTACAACATAACTTTCATTTTTTTCTGTCGTCTACTTTTTCTCGTCATCAAACCCATATATCATAATTTCATTTTTTTCCCCTGTTTCACGCAAAAAGTCCAAAAGGGGTTTCCAGTCAGCATTAAACTTAATTACTGTCCTTTCTCTGATCAAGGCTGTCAGTTTAGCCATCTCAGCAAGCTTCATCATCTTCATCGCCAGCGCTAGTTTTCTTTATTTGCACAACGATTTGAAGTGACCGTTTCAGAAGCTCATCGTGGCTTGGAAGCAAATCAGCATCATCGAAATTCCCCAGCATGGCTGGCTGGGGAATTCTGGGAGTTGAAGTCCACCCATCTTCAAGCTGCCAAGGTTGAGAAACCCTGCTATATACTGTCGTCAGCTTTAGAAGTCCTGGTGCTCAGCAGATGCAGAAAGAAATATATCAGATCTATCAGAATAGATTGTACAGATCCCCTTCTCTTAAGCTCGCAGAGATAGACAGATTTTACACAACGTCACGTCTAGGAGGTTTTACGTGACACCCCTCCCCGAAGAATTGCTCTACTGGAAGCCACGTAAAGCCCCCTACGTGGGGGCATGACGTCACAAATCTTTGCTGGAATGCGAACCCCACGAAGGGGCATTTTACCACATTTGGTGGACGTGTAAAATAGCCAGAAAAATTTGGGCACAAATAAACATACTAATTCAGAAGATTTTCAAGGCTAATGTACAATTGAAACCAGAGGCTTTTCTTTTGAAAATTGAATAATATTCAATTATGAATTGAGTAATTCTGGGAGTTGAAGTCCACACATCTTCAAGCTGCCAAGGTTGAGAAACCCTGCTATATAGTCATGTAAAGTGGAAGAGTCTCCATAAAATAACATCTGGCTAATGTACAATTGAAACCAGAGGCTTTTCTTTTGAAAATTGAATAATATTCAATTATGAATTGAGTAATTCTGGGAGTTGAAGTCCACACATCTTCAAGCTGCCAAGGTTGAGAAACCCTGCTATATAGTCATGTAAAGTGGAAGAGTCTCCATAAAATAACATCTGGCTAATGTACAATTGAAACCAGAGGCTTTTCTTTTGAAAATTGAATAATATTCAATTATGAATTGAATAATTCTGGGAGTAATTTATTTATTCTGGGGGTTGAAGTCCACACATCTTCAAGCTACCAAGGTTGAGAAACCCTGCTATATAGTCATGTAAAGTGGAAGAGTCTCCATAAAATAACATCTGGCTAATGTACAATTGAAACCAGAGGCTTTTCTTTTGAAAATTGAATAATATTCAATTATGAATTGAATAATTCTGGGAGTAATTTATTTATTCTGGGGGTTGAAGTCCACACATCTTCAAGCTACCAAGGTTGAGAAACACTGTTATATACTGTCGTAAGCTTTAGAAGTCCTGGTGCTCAGCAGATGCAATAAATATACTAATTCAGAAGATTTTCAAGGCTAATGTACAATTGAAACCAGAGGATTAATGGACAGACAACGAGAAAAAAAGCCATGGAACTTTGTTTTTATACATGATAACAGCAGCAAGATTATTATACACTCAAAAGTGGAAACATTTGTCATTACCCACAATGGAGGTGAAGATGGTGGAACTTGCAGAGATGGCTAAATGGATTTTTTGATTAGAGAAAAAACAGTATCTGCATTTACAGCTAACTGGAACCCCCTTATGGACTTTTTGCATGAAACAGAAAAAAATGCATTATGACTTGTGGCTTTGATGATGAGGGAAAAAAATGGATAATAGAAAAAAGTGGGCTTTTTTGTAATCATAGAGTAAGAGATCGCTTTGTAATCATATTTGCTGCAAAGGAGAACGGAAGCTTCTTTCTATTCCCTTTTATCTTTTCTTTCTGCACGTTTGTCTTTTTTTCTTTTTTCTTCCTCTACTTTCCTAATCCTGTGTTAGTTTGTGTTCGTTTTTATGCTTTAAAGCTTTTAATAAAATTTACATTAAAAAAAACGTGGGGCGTGACGTCACGTAACATCCGTATCTCTGCTCTGATTGCTTAAAGGAAGGTTGATTGTATAAACTGTTCAGATAGGAAAAAACGGCAGAAAATTGCGCTGTGGCTGGTTCTCTGCATTTAGGGGGTTTCAAGATCCTACATCTGAGTAAACCTTTCTATCCGAAGTCGTTCACTTATTCGGGTTTGTAATGCACAACCGACCCAGCTGGGATGTTCTGGAGGAGAGGCCGTTGCGTGGCTCAGGGGTTAGCAATCTTTTGCTCGCCTTGTAGCGTGGCCCGTAGTGCGGTGATGCCACCAAAATGCATGGGGCTGAAAATTCTAGCCTTTTTTTTTTTTTTTTACCTTTTTGGGGCAGAAGGATTGCACCCATCTGGGGAATTAAGATCCTGGAGACAGAATTCCCTCAGTTTAAGCTTGGAATATTAAAACATCATTGTCATCGTCGCCATCTTGGAGCAAAAATCACTGTTTGGCCACCAACTTTCAACAGAGCAATCCTGGGGGGTTTGGGGGACTGAAAGTATTGGGCAGGGACCATCTTTGGTCTTCAGGCTGTGAGTTGCCATTGCGGCTTGTTCAACCAGCTGGGGTTTGTGCCCTGGCCGGTTGAACAAGTGAAGTGCGGTGAATGAATCCCACAAAATGGTCGCCTTATTCAAATTTATGTTCTTGGACGTGATATTTCTATGGAAAATAGGGTAATTGGTCCCAGTTCAACGGCAGTAGGCATTAACTGAATTTTGGCTTGCATTAAATGTGACTTGGTATCAATTTATGATTTGCACTAAATTGAATACTGCACTATTGGAACTCGTGTTAATCACTACCTACCTGTATATGGACATAGTCGTGGACTAGACCCTCTCTCACCCCCTCTTTGTGGTTAAGGAGAAGGTTTCAATTCTGGATACTCCAAATGCCTTGGCGCAGACCACTTGCCCAGGCTCAGATGGGTCATCGGTGGGGCCAGGGCTCTGTGGGAGCCCCACTTTTCTCTTAGCACATGGTGTAAAGCCAGCCATTATATTAAGCCATACTCTGGTTTGTTGTGTTTTGTGAAATGGAGTTTAAGCTTCACGGTGGGGTAGGAACTCAGCCTCTGCCAGGGTTGGAACCCCAGACCGGATGAAGAGTGTTGGCCCTTCCTTCCTTCCTTCCTTCCTTCCTTCCTTCCTTCCTTCCTTCC